CGCGCCGCCGGCCCCTCCGCTGCCGGCTCTGCGGCCGCGCGCGGTCTGCCGCGGGCCTCGGCGCAGGGCGGGCCCGCCGCGGTCTCCGCCGCGGCCGCTGCCGCGGACGCCGACGCGCGGGCCGCCGCTGCCGCCGGCGCCGTGGCCGCCGCCGGCGCCGCTGGCGCTGCGGCGGCCGCGGGCGCCTCTAGCGCTGCTGGCGCCGCTGCTCCTGCCGTCGGCGCGGTGCGCGCTGCGGCCGCCGCCGCCGCCGCGTGCACCAGGGGCCGCGCGGGCGCCGCCGCGCACGCTGCCGGCGCCTGGTGCGCCGCGGGCGTTGCCGCCGAGGCCGCCGCCGCGGCGGCTGCCGCAGGCCGCGGCGGCCGCCCTCTCCCGCGCGGCGGCCGCCGCTGCCGTTGCGGCGACGGTGCCGGGCGGGCCGGCTGGCCTGGCGCTGGGCTGCCAGCCCTACGACCAGCCCCACGGCCAGCCCAACTGCTAGCCCCACGGCCAGCCTCACGGCCTACCCCACGGCCAGCCCCACGGCCTGCCCCACGGCCCGCCCGACGGCCAGCCCCTCGGCCAGCCCGACTGCCAGCCCTTCGGCCAGCCCCACGGCATGCCCGACGGCCAGCCCCGCGGCCTGCCCGGCAGTCAGCCCCACTGCCAGCCCGACGGCCAGCCCCGCGGCCAGCCCGACTGCCAGCCTGACGGCCATCTTTCTGTCGACGCTATCCTGGAACAGCTTGGTTTGCGCGGCTGTCCAACAAAGCTGCCCGGCGGCATGACCACGACGCAGACCGGCTGGCGCCGCGCCCACGCAGGGCGTTTCCCTTGAGACTGACTTTTCTCCTCCCTCCCTGCCCATGATTCCTCGAGATGCGACGGTTAGTCGCCTACACCGGGAAGATTGCGATATGAGTCGCCTCCACCGGGAAGAGCACGAAGATAGTCGTGAATCGCAGGAGTAGGGGCAGGAAGAAGTCAGGGAGAACCTTGCCGACCGTCCCGCGAAAACCATTGGCAACGGGACCTCTTGGCACACCCAACCGCCTCGGATTCCAACGGACCTTGCGACGGTCAGTCGCCGCCACCGGAAAGAATGTGATGATAGTCGAGAGTCGCATTGTGAGGGGCAGGGAGAAGCCAGAAAGTATTTTCCGACCGTCCAACACAACCCGCTGGCAACACGAACCCTGGGAACACCCAGCCGTTTCGGATTCCAACAGACCCTGTGATGGTCATTCACCTACACCGGGAAGGTCGCGAAATGGGTCGCGAGCCGCAGGGGAAGGGGCAGGGAGAAGACAGAGAGGACCTTGCCGACCGTCGAACACAACCAATTTGCGACACGACCCCTGGGAACACCCAGCCGCCTCGGATTCCAACAGACCCTGCGACGGTCAGTCGCCTCTACTGGGAAGAGTGTGAAGATAGTCGCGTGTCGCAGGAGGAAGGGGGCACCGCTCCCGACACCCAACCTGACGCCCTAGTCGCCTACAACGGGAAGATTGCGAAATAGGTCGCTTCCACCGGGAGGAGCGCGAAGATAGTCGCGATTCGCCGGAGGAGGAAAAGGAACAAGACTGGGAAGACCTTGCCGACCGTCCAACGCAACTCACTGGCAACGCGACCTCTTGGCACACCCGAGCTGTTAGGAAACACTGTGCGCCCAAGTCTGTTCGTTTTCCCCACGAGAAAGAAGAAATAGTTTGGTTATGTTGTCGGTACTGTTTCCGCCCACTGGCAGGAGATACGCAATGTTAAAGCACACATCGTAGATATCCCTGATCTCAGCATCGAGCATCGATTTTCGAAGCTCGGCAATGATGCAGTTGACACGGGTTGCTAAACATGGTGCGCCGATTCACCCGACGATGAGTTTTGATGAAGGAGATTAGGTCAACAAGCGTGTTACAGATTCCAGGGCCGTTTGCCGCGTCGCCGCCGCTGCCCTTTCGGGTTGGCCGAAGCTTGAGCTAAGCAAGGCGACACGGGCGTTTCTTGTTACATTGCGCACCAGTTGGACTGGTACCGAGGAGCTTGGCGGCGCAAGTGATGTTTACTTTTTTTCGTTGGATTGGGACTAAGCCTCTGGTTCACGATTATTGTAGAGAGCCCCCGCCAGCCACGCAAGAGATGACAGCTCTGGGACACAGGCGTTTGGCCCTACGATGCAGCGATGACTCCTAGCTTTTCGTGTGCACCAGGTGTAAGGCATAGACCTGGCGTGAGCGTACCACGCGTTTTAGCAAGGGTTGCGATCCTACCACGATTTGGGAGGAACGACATTGATAAGTGGAGGCTCATGCAGAGGGGCAGCCACCCACGACTCACAAATGTTGCTACCGAGTGCGCGCCTGAGTTTGACACTAAATATCCATTTGGCGCCGCCATTCTCCCGCAACACGAGCCAGATGACAGATCATTTCTTTGATTCGCCGCCACATCGCTAAGGCCCCAGGCTGCAGGAAGCTCATCTGCCGCCATTCTAGGGCACAGCAACGAATCAGACTAGGCCACATGACAGTCTCAGCGTTGTGCGGATCTGTGGCAGACCTTTCAAGATGCAGGGTAGCCTCGAACCTTGTGCCAGGTTGCCTGTCCGTCGCCAGGGCATCCCACATAAACCCCGTGAAATCACCTTGGCGGTTCCCGAATTGGGAGTGCTGACATCAGCGCGTCGCTCGAGACATCCTCACAATCTGCTATGCAAGCAGACGAGTCTGGCCACTGAAACAGCCAAGCCGCCTGACACGTCCGCACAATCTGGGCGCGAACGGGCCCGTGAAAACACCCTGGCGGCTCCCCCTTGGGAGTGCTACAACCAGCGCCTCACCTGACATCCTCGCACCCTGCGAGTCTGAGTGTGATAGACTATGAGTGTGGGTGAGTATGAGTCTGAGTATGAGGGTGAGTGGGTCTCTGTGTGAGCGGGTGTGGGTACGAGTGAGTCTGAGTGCGAGCAGGACTGAGCAAGGGTAAGTGTGAGTGTGAGTGGGTCGGAGTGCAAGTCAGAGTTCGAATGAGTGTGAGTATTGATGCGTCTGGGTATGAGTGAATATGAGTGTGAGTGAGTCTGAGTGTGAGCGAGTCAGAGCGTGCGTAGGTATGAGTGCGAGTGACCCTGAGTTGAGTGATTCCGAGTGTGAGAGAGTCTGAGTATGATCGAATCTGAGTGTGAGCGAATCTGAGTATGGTCGAATATGAGTGGGAGCGAGTCTGAGTATGAGTGAGTCTGAGTGGGTAAGAGGAGGAGGACGAAGGAGAAGAAGGGAATAAATTGCAGAACCTCACCTCAGGATAGGAATAACAAGAACCCATCTCAGGATATGGGGAAGACCAAGAAGCCCATCGCATCAGATGCGGGACAGCAACATTCATGTTAAGACTGATCGCTCTTGCCTGGTCGCGTGTCACTAAACATGTACACCCCAAACCCTCCATACCTGCCCACTTCGTATCGGATCGTACCCCACTTGGGGGATATATCATCCTTCCCTGCCACGAGTAATTGGCGCAGCCCTAAAACTGGAAGAACAGAAAGAATGGAAAAGGGAGAGCGCGAGGAGGAAGGGAGTGGAGGAAGGGAGCCAGGAGGGAAGGGGTCAAGAGGAAGGGAGAGAGTAGATGGAGGACGACAGGGAATAATTAGAGGAGGTGGCAAGGAAATCTCAGGCGAGAACGTGGTTCCTGAGTACAGTAAACTGAGAGGGAGTCTAGAGCGAGAGCGCTATTCCATAGCGCCGAGGGCGCTTCGTGTATGAATTTTCGGGACAGGCGGGAGCGTGCCAGATTTTGTTTGATAAATTGTAAGGAAGTATCAGGCGGGAGCCGCTGTTGTTGAAAACCAGTAGCCAGGGGGCCCAATCTCGCGTAACATTTTTCTTCGTAGAAAATACGCCGCGAGCCCGGGAGGGGCACTTCAGTTGAAAAATGATCATAGGTACCGGAGGGGGATCAACAGCAATCAGTACATAGAAAACAAGCTATCACAAACAAGCAGAATTTGGGCCACGAAGTCCCACTTCACCCACGCGCCTAGGGATGGTGTAAGACCGTTCGGCCCCTTTCATTCGGATGTGAACATGATACTTCAGACTCTGAAGTGCGTTGTCCTTTGGGGACTTCCTGGGGTGCCCTCGTCGCCGCGGCAGGATCCGTTTCCGAAACTCCAATCGGGACGCACCCGGGGCCAGGGTCCAGGGCCTCAAGTTCTGGAGTGGTCCGGGGGTCGATTTCGAGGGAATGGCCCAGAGTTCTGGCGACCCGAAGAGATCGCGACGGAGGCGTTTCGCGGTGGTCGGCCCTTGCAGGCCGTTCCTGGGCCTTGGGCCGTCAGCAAACGGCTCGGGGTGAACTCAGCGATGCGCTGCTGCACATCCATCGTTAAAACATTGATCGAGATGATAAGCCAGTCTGGATGCCCACTTCACGAGTATCTTCTGCCGTCTGACGTCTGTAGGCACGACCACCGCCCCGCGTCGGGCCCCGGGCCCCTTGGATCGAACGGTCCCGGCAGGTTCTGCGCAAGCGTGTGATTGGGAATTCCAGTCGTCACTTTTCATGGTAGTTTGAAATTTCCGCGCCGTCGGATAACAGGCGTGGGGGGAGGGCTGAGGTGGCCAAGGGTCACCACGGGGGCGGAGAGCAAGGGGGGGGGGCTGGAATGACGGAATGCCACGAGGGCCCCCTGACCCAAACCTCTGTCGGCCCGAAAAGTTCGCGCGGCTCCTTCGCCGCTCTTGGCCTCCGACAGGCAGTTCCCAGTTCCCGTGGAGAACGGGTCCCCGGGGATGGGGTCGAGAGGTCCGGGGGCCCACGCTTCGAATACAACGATGTCGGAGGTCTGGGTTCCGCCCTTGCATCGGGCTGGGTCGCGGGTCTTGCGCGAGGCGGTCTGGCCTGGTGACCTTGCGCGGGGCTCGCAGCTGCACGGTATCGGTCAGGCGACGCGGAGCGGTCCGATCGGAGTTGTCTTCGGCTCGGGCGCACGGTCCGGCCGCGCGCCGGCCTGCCAGGATGGTGGCGGCGTCGCAGGCGCACAGCGGCCGCGGCGTCTTCAAGGCGCTCAACTCCGTGGAGCGCTTCAAGCCCGACCTGACCATCTTGGAGCAAGAGCGGGCCAAGCAGAAGAGCTGGGAGGAGCAGGTGAAAGCACGCATGAGTCATGCCCCTGGTGAAGCCGCCGGTGTGGACTCGGATGGCGGCGCGTCCGCTTGAATTGTTCCGCTTAGTTCTAGCCGTTTGAATTCACGAGTAGACCCCCCCACACACACACACCAAGGCTTCACTTTTCCCCTTCCCATTGCCCCACCCTAGCCACTACTCCTCTTTATCTGGCGTGCTCCTATTTGGAACTTGTGCGCGACATGTTTTATTACATGACACCAGCCTTCTAACACAGGTGATGGGCCAGAATTGCAGCCCGTGGCCATCTGCACAGGTTATGATGCATTGTTGTCTGGGTGCTCGCGAAGGCCCAGCTTGCGTGACGCGTAGCGACGTGATTCCCAGCATGCAAACGGGCATTGGCCGAAACATCTGTCGATTTCCACCATGTGTAGCATGCTGTCTGTGTGCGTTTCGGGGGAACGTGCCAGTTTAAGCCAGACTTGGAGCCAGTTTTGCTGCTCCCGCACGCAAATCCTGCCTCCGCGACAGCTGCATCACCTACAAGTAGAGATGCCTTGGCATTCCGGCCTGCGGGGCGACCAGGTTCACGGTGAACTTGGTTCACCTACGCACTTGAGCCAAGCATGGGGGCCCGAGGATGACCGAGCCGCGCTTCCTTCTCGGCCCTGGGGCCCGAGGGTTCTCCTTCTCCGGGAGATGACGCGAGAGCGCGAGGATAATCACGCCTAGCCCGCTGCAAGGCACTGAGTTAAGATGATACGGACCTGCGTTGGCTCGAAATTCTTTGAAGTTCCCAGACCCCCGCCGAACCCGCTGTCGCCTGGGTCGACGGCCTCTATATATTTGGACCCCTTCCCTGGGACAAGGCTTCATCCCGAAATGTTTCTGACGGTTTCAGATCCCGGATCCGGCCCCCATGGACCAAAAGTGTTGAAAAATGTCAGCCAGCGCGGCCCCCAAACAGCGCGTTGTGTAGCAATCGATGTTGTGCAATATGTGTGGACCAGTCTATGTAGTGAACTCAATAACTTGCTCAACTTGAAGCTGTCCTCTCCACTGCTCGTGCAAACATCCCACCCTCCCACCCGCAACTTGGTCGCAAGACCTCTGACGACCTTGACGATGGGTACCAAATGGCACTTGGCAGCGACACCGACGACGACAGCGACAACGCCATCGACGACGACGACGACGCCGCCGCCGACAACGACTACGACGACACCGACGACGTCTCCAACGACTTCGACGACGACGACGACAACGACGACGACGACGACGACAACACCGACGACGACGACGCCGACGCCGACGCTGACGACGACGACGATGACAACGCCGACGACGACGACGACGCCGCCGCCGCCGACGACGACGACGCCGACGACGACGACGACGACGACGACGACGGCGACGACGAAGACGACGACGACGACGACGACGACGGCGCCAACGAAGACGACGACGACGACGAGGGAGGAGGGAGGACGACGGCGACGACGACAACAACGATGGAGGAGGGAAGACGACGACGACGACGACGACGACGACGACGACGGCGACGAAATAGGAGGGACAACGGCGGAACACCGACGAAGACGACGAGGGAGGAAGGACGACCACGGCGACAACGACGACGGAAACGACGACGACGCCAAGACGACGACGACGACGAGGAAAGACAGAGGACGACGACGGCGACGACGACGACGACGAGGGAGGCGGGAGGAAGGCGACGAGGACGACGACGACAACGCAAGAGCGCGCGCGCACGCTTTTGTTGAAGATTTGTGTTGCGAAACCTTGTGTTGTTTGAATGTTTTTTTGGACGCACGATTTTTTATCCTTCCGAAACCGAAAGTTTTGGAGGATTCTGGTATGCGCAAAGGATTTTAGAAAATGTATGATTGCTGATAAACGAGAGCGCGCGCATAGTATTTGTTGCAGAGGATGGCGGGGGAGTGATACCGGTTTGGCTGGGATAATACGAATTCATATTTAGCATGGACGAGTGTGTAAAATAAATATGAAATCGCAATACCCCAGGGGGATCGTTAACTCCGGGGGGTAGAGTCTGTTCTTTCTTAGAAAGGAGAACGGATGTGTTGCAATGAATGTTGTGCAACTCACGTTGCGCAATATCTGCTGTAATACCTGTGCTGTGTATTCCACGTGGTGATATCTACGTCGTGGAATAGATGTGGTGCAGTATGTGGGGTGCGCAATCGATGCCATGCATTTGAAGTGATGTTTTAAATATGGTGTCATCGACGTTGTGCAACACATGTGGTGCAGAATACGTCGCGCAATATAGTGCAATCTGGTTTCTGCAATATCGTTTGTGCAATATTCGTGGTGGACCGTACGTTGTGCAATATACGTTGTGCAATACATGTGGTGCCATCTATGTGGTGCAATAAGTATGGTACAATCAATGCTGCGTGTTTATGTGGTGTAACCTATATGGTGCGTTGTACAAGCAATGCGGTGCAAGCTATGTTGTGCAGCCTTCGTGGTGCAACCCACGCGGTGCAATTCACCCTGCCGAACTTCAAGTTGTGAACTCCACTGCTTGCGCAATCACCCCAACCACCCACCCGCAGCTTGGTTTGCAAAACCCATGCGGCGGCGATTGCGATGACTGCTCGGCGCTGGCTGGCGCATCGCTGCGGCGGCGCTAGCGCGCGCAGGCTCGCGCGCAAAGCGGCCAGCTAGTCTGGTACGACCGACGCGGCCGCGGTGGCGCTGACCGTTGTCCCAGCGCGGCTAGCATACGCGGAGCCGCTTCGGTGCGAGTCGAGGATTCGGGCGAGCGCGGTATGATGGCGACGGCGACACCGGCAGGCACGATGATGATAGTAGCGATGTTGGTGACGACGGTGACGATGGCGACGGCAAGGCTAATGACGGTGCCGACGTTGGTCACGCTGATGACGATGATGGTGCCCACGCGTAAGTGATGAAAGTTTTGGAAGGAGTTCGACATGCGCGCGCGGCCGACGGGCGCGAGTGGCCCGCGCGTATTTTGCGACAGGGATCGTGCCCTTCCCCCCATCGCACGCGTGAAATGGCGTCCGAACGATTCCGACATGCGCGCGCGAAGGGCCTTTTCGGTCGCATGTGATGAAAGCGTTGGAACCCGCATGGCTTTTTTGGTTCGCGCAGACATTTGTTGGCAAGTCATGTTGCGCGACCATGTGTTCGTATGTGCGTTCGACACACTCGGTTTTTGAAATCCTTAAGACACCCTATGTGTTTGGAAAGATTTCGGCATTCGCGCGCGACGACACGCGCGTGTGCACGTTGTCCGTTTTTTGTTCGCATGGGCTTTTTTGGAAACTGATGATTTGTTATTGACGAGTGCTCGCCAGTAGTATTATCCACCAGTCTTCGGCCCATCCTGTCACCGTGCTTGAGCTGTGAGTATGCAGCATACTGGATGTTCATTGGGATCTCGTGGGGGGCCTCTTGGGGGCCGTTTTGGCGTTTCTTGTGGCCTTTTGGGGACCTTTGGGGCCTCTTGGGGATTTCCTGGGGGCCCTTTTGATCCTTCTGGGCGCCTCTTGGGGCCTTCCGCTTGCCTTTCGGGGCGGAAGGCTCGGATGTTCGGCTCCCGTTCCCTCTCTGAAGCACCTTTGGGGGCCGTCTTGGGGGCATCTTAGGCAGGTCTGGTGCGTTATTCTGCCGTCTTGGGGCCCTCCTGGAGGCATCTTTGGCCGTTTTGGGCTGGTTTGGGGGGTTCTTCGGCCGTTTTGGAGTGGAGTTCGCTATGAGGCCGCGATACGTGTGAGGGATGTACCGAAACGGGCGCGGCAGACGAATGCGAGCACGGCCATTGCGGCCTTCGGTGGCTCCCATGATGGAGACACGAAACGTGTGAGCGGTGATCCAAAATGGGCGCGGACGCATGCGAACACCGCCACTGGGGCCTTCGGTGGCGCTCCCTATGGGGCCACGCAACGTGCGAGGGGTGTGCCCACATAGGCGGGGCGGGCGCATGGAACTCCCTATGGGGCCAAGAAACGTGTGAGGGGTGTGCCGACACGTGTGCGGTGGGCGTATGCGAATGCATCCACTGGGTTTTTCGGTGGATTTCCCTCCGCGGCCACGAAACGTGCGAGGGGTTTGCCGAAATTGGCGCGGTGGGCGCACGCGAACGCAGCCATTGCGGCCTTCGGTGGAGTTCGCTATGAGGCCGCGATACATGTGAGGGATGTACCGAAACGGGCGCGGCAGACGAATGCGAACACGGCCACTGGGGCCTTCGGTGGCTCCCCCTAGGGAGACACGAAACGTGTGAGCGGTGATCCAAAATAGGTGCGGACGCATGCGAACACCGCCACTGGGGCCTTCGGTGGCGCTCTCTATGGGGCCACGCAACGTGCGAAGGGGTGTGCCCACATAGGCGGGGCGGGCGCATGGAACTCCCTATGGGGCCAAGAAACGTGTGAGGGGTGTGCCGACACGTGTGCGGTGGGCGTATGCGAACGCAGCCACTGAGGCTTTCGGTGGGTTTCTCTACGGGGCCACGAAACGTGCGAGGGGTTTGCTGAAATTGGCGCGGTGGGCGCACGCGAACGCAGCCACTGGGGCCTTCGGTGGAGCTTCCTATGGGGCCACGGAACGTGTGTGCCGAAATGGGCGCGGCGGGCGCATGCGAACGCAGCAACTGCGGCCTGCGGTTGAGTTCCCCGTGGGGCCACGAAGCGTGTGAGGGGTGTGCCGAAATTGTTTCTGTGGGCGCATGCGAACGCAGCCAGTGCGGCTTGCGGTGGAGCTCTTTATGGAGCCACGAAACGTGTGACAGAGCGATATCCAACAAAAAATAACAGGAGAGGGCGAAAGGGCCCCCCCCAGTGCACGAAAGGTGGGGGGGAGGGGGGAATCGCGCCCCCCCAAGCATTCCCCGCCATCCCTGGCGCACGAGGAAGGGGGGGGGGGAGCGGGGCCTTCCCTGCACGAAAGGGGAGGTTCGGAGCCGAAGGGGAGCCCACCCTCTCCCTCCCGGTCCTGGCATTTCCCTTCGTCCCCGGCGCACAAGGGGGGGGGGGGCCGGGGGGGCCACCTCCTCTGGCACCTCCCCTTCGTCCCCGGCACCACACGAAAGGGAGGAGGCGAAAGGCCGCCGGTGGAGAGTCGAACCCGGGAATCGAAAACGTTAAAGATAGGATTGGGGGTTAGGATTAGGGTTCGGGGTCAGGGTTGGGGGGTCCGGATGGAGTTTGGGGCTTGGGTTTGTCCAAGAACGCCTGGCGGCAGCGACACCCTTGGCTCGTTCGCGTTGGTTTTCGGTCATTTGCGATTGCGCCTGGCCTTTTTCAGGGCTCGTCCAGAGGAGGCAGGGGGAGTGCATTTTGAATGTGCGTGTATATATGTCTGGGTGTGTGTTTCTGTGTGCGCGTGCGACTGGGCGCGCATTCGCCCGCGCTTGCCCGTCCAGGCAAGGGAGGAGGGAGTGTATTTTCAATGCGCGTGTGCAGGAGCATGTGGGTGCGCACGGGTGCGCATGTGCGTGCGCGCGTATTGAAAAGAGGTGTGTGTGCGTGTTGTGGGAATGAGCGCCTCCAGCTCATTGATTTGCAGTTGTGTCCTCCAACGGTTGCCTATGTGCTTGAACATACAGAGAGGGGTGCGATGTCCGTATCCATCTTTGGCTCAAGCCGCACGTCCCTCACAGCCCCTCTCTGTCAATCCCAGTCACCTTCCAATCCATCCCACCTTCTCTCCG